ATTCGAGTCAAATCAAGACGAATTCAGGTCTTAATTTTTTTTGTCCAAAATCCAATTAAAATTTAAACAGATCTAAAAATTATATCTAAACCCATTCAAGCTCATTTAATGCATTTAAATTTTTTATCCAAACCTTTTTAAAATTTGAACAATCTTTGAATTTAGGCCGATAACCAAACCCTTATAAAGATTTATGTAAAAATACATCTTCTTACATAAATATTAATTGAAAAAGCCAAATTAATTAAGAACTGAGTCGACTCATTATATGTATATTTTTATAAGTCAAGTTCCTTAATTTATGGTAATTTAAGATTTCCTAATCGACCACAGGACAAGCTTATAAAATTTCAATTGGCCACACATTGTTGTCTGTTAGCCTAACATGTATAGTAGAAACGCAATTATAATTAAGCTCAAACAGATTCCAAATATATGCATCCGCATTCTCCATTGTCATGTCACGTAAAAGAACACTCTAAAAAGAGTTTTAGCATGGCCATATATATGACCTATGAAGGTCTCCACACTGACATAAACAAAAGAAAAGGTGATGGGTTACTCCTTTACTAGCAATCATGTCCCCTTAATTATTTTGATGGTCATGTATGTATCACATCATCATCATCATAGTAAAATTACCAGCAAAAAGAAAAAAAAAAGTGAATGAAGTTTCTTCAGGTTTTCTCACGTGGCTCTACGTAACATACAAACACTTGGAGAGAAAATTATATGACCTTTCTTCATCATATCTTCATAAATTAAAGTTCTACTTTTTTTTTTTCCTTTTGTGTTTCTTCTGCTTTTATTCCAAACAGAAAACATTTCCTTCGGTGGAACATTGACAAGTGTCGAGCTGGTAGCCTGTGCTTCTTGCATGCTTTACCATTGCAGCTTTCCTTTTACGCAATGTTTTCTTTTTTTTTTTTTTTTTTTTTCTGTTTGCATACTTGATTTGGAAAACTTTATGTGAACCTGTAGTGATCGTTCTCTGTTATGTAGGACCGAAGATTCAAGACAAATGCTTTTGCTTGCAAGTTCAGGAGACATTCCAAAGTGTTCCATAGGTATAGCAGAGACAAACGGTAGTGAAAGCAGCAGCCCAATTTTTTAACCTGACAGTTAATTGTTTTTAAGCAAATGTTACAAGAAAATAGCTTTTAACGAAAATTTTTCGTCGCTAAAAGTAGTCATTATCGATAGATTTAAGCACATACGACGCATAAGTTGGATATAGTAGTAGGCTATAATGTTGCTAATGAATAGTTTATCATTTTTTTTCTCAGCCAATGATTAGTTTGATTAATTACAGAAGTTTATCATATATTATAAGAGAAGATACAACAAATTAAGCACATAAATTATCTTCAAGGTTTTTGCAACTTTAGCTATACGAATCTAATCATATATATATATATATATATATATGTATGTATTTATTTTTATGATTCTGATGCGTTGAAGAATTAAAAACATAAGGAGGCGATAAGGAGAGAAAGGTTCTTTGGGTGCGTAGAAATTAATCATCTTCATAAATTATGAATCATATCTAATTTTTTTATATTCTCTTTTTTAAATATGAAATTATAAAATCGCATGGCTAAATCTCAAGAAATAATAGATAGTGATAGTGGTATTAAAGGAAAAGGTTATAATATATAATACACACACACATATATATATATATATATATATAAACCGATTTTTTTTACATTAGTATTTTTATCTAATAAAAAAGCTATCTTATTCTTTTATTTAAAAAAATGATTAGATTTTCAACTAAACGTGCTCAAACACGGAATTAAAGTGCTATTGAAGTGTAAATATTATTACAATAAATACAATAAATATAACAGATCGATGTGGGAGAGTATGTTATTAAGATCGTTAAAAGATGAAATTAATCCAAACCAAACTTAAAATATTCGTATTAAAAAAATTACTGCCATATATATATATAACTTAGCAACCTATAGCTAATGGCGACAATTCCAGTGTTTTACATATGGACATTGCTGGGGTTTTTATTATGAATAATCAGCAAAGGGACCACAAAAATTAATATTACTTAATAAAGAAAAAGAAGAAAAAATGGAAAAACATGAGGGACCCTGGAAAATAAAATTGATCAGTGGAATGTGAAGAGCATTTACTGGAATTTGAATGCTAATAAAACACCTCTTTATGCAGATGGCAACACTACTTTCCTCTTCAGGAGACAGTTAACAGCTATGATTTAAGAACCATTTGACTTTACTTCAAAAAGAAAAAAACAATGACAGTAGCCAGGAACATGAATATGATCATAATGATAAGTTGTCATCTGAAGAATGAAGTTTATGTTTTGAAAAAGCCAATTGGCAAATATGTGATGGTCCTTCCAGCTTTGGAAAGAAAATAAAATTTTAGTGGGCTACCCTCTTGCATTGGTTGGCAACCAATAATTTTAAGAATTGAATCATCAATATTATCAGCTTGATGTATATGAATGAAAGAGAAAAAAAAGATTTTCACATGTCTTGATTTGGTTTCTTTCACGTAATCTGCAGTTGTTATTATTGCAGTGAAAGCTGTGTTAGAGGAGATAAAAGCAGAAGAAAATGATGATAGAATTTTTTAGTAAGTGGGTTATTATTAATTCATGATTTTATACTTTGATAAATTAGATTAATAAATTTAGTTTTAATATAAGATAAACATGAGAGTCTAAATAATTAATTGTGATTATTTAGTATAGGTTTTGTATATCTTATTAAATCAGTATGATTTAACGGTTACATAAGCTTTTGATTTGATAAATCTTCGAGAAGATTTATCGGATTCTAATAATATTTAGTTAAGTTTCTCTTTTCACTAATAATTAATGATATCTAATTATTGAGAGCTATGAGTAAGAGAAGAGCGAAGAAAAAAATTTAATCTATTCAAGAATTGATATTGTTTTTTATTATCAATTATGTCTGTTCGATACGCAATATGATTAAATTTAATGTTTTAATATTTACTTTTGAAATTTAAAGTTATACTTACAAATGAAATTCGAAGTGTTAAAAATAAAGAGATATGAAGCAACCAGGTTCTAGAGCTGAGAATTTATTTCACTTTTTGCAGATGTGACTTGAAATGCTGAAGAAAGATCGAATTTTGTTCTTTGTTTCCTTGCAGCATTTAGAAAAGTTTAGCCACTCATATTGCAAGAAATAAGGCATGTGGGTCAGTGTAAAAAAACAGGTGGAACACTTCAACCACATGGATTGTCTGAATCTACAACAGTACAAAAAAAAAAAAACAACTGTTTAATTACTGGGTCATACATACAGATGATGCTAATAATTGGGAACTTCATAATCGTTCCAGTAAGTTTGATTTTCAGTCAAGTTTCTCATCCAATTAGATGTCCTACAGCTCACTTTTTAACATAAATAATCTATATATAGGGCCTGGAAAATGATTGAAAGACTCTGGGGGTCCCTAAATCTCTTATATTATTAGTGATTAATTTGAGTACTTTAATCAAATCATTTTTTAGTGAGTTTGATTCCCTTTTGTTTGTTAGGAGGGGCCTAAAGTTTTATCTTTTGTGGCTTAATTGCCTGCCTAATCAAATCATAATGCAAAAATTAGTGTAATCATAGGAATGTAAGAAATGTTTAAAGTTAGCCAAGTGGCAAGTTCCCAAGTCTTCTCATCAGAAAAAAAAAAAAAAAGTAAGAATCCAATTACAATTTTTTTTTTCAATAGTTTGAGGGGGAAAGAAGAAGAAAATTTGACATGAATTTGTATTTTTCTTTAAGGAAAACCTAAAATCTTTATCCTAAATCTCACCGATCAGCCACAAAAATCAAGTTTAGCTGACATTTACAACTTGACTTTTACAAGTGAATGTGGTAGAAATGGGGGATACAAATTAACATGCAAATAACACCCAAAAAAACATTTTTTTTTTTAATTTTTAAAAGAATCCAAGCTTCTGATTGTTATTATTGTTTTCAAAAAGTAGTGTTCGTAAATCTAAGGCTAAATCCAAAAATCTAGATTTCAAATCTCAGTATTTGTAATTTATTTTTCGATCTATCTTCATCTTTGATAAAAAAGATTAATGCTTCTGTATTGGGGTATATTTATCCTGTAACAACCTCAAATCATGATCATTACTTTTTCCAATTCCACGACCATTCCATTGTAGTTTGACTGCCGAGCTTTATTTGCTTATTAATCTTCATTGTTCCTCAACCTTAAGAGATAAAATTCCTATGATCATCTAAATTCCCCATATATAATATTCTCCTTTCATTATCAACTAAAACCATAGTATTATTCCAATACAAACGAATTGCAAGCGTGAAAATTTGACACTCTATCCCTTGGAATCAAAGCATTTAACAAAAATTACTGAAACCAAGATGTGATTAAGCCGAGTTATTTCACCAAAAATATAAAAAGAAAAGGAAAAAAAATTTAAAAATTCTAATTCTGGTGCTTTGGACGGGAAATACATGTTATCTTGTTGATCCATGTCCAGACATGGTATGGCTTTGTTTGGAAACTGTAAGTGAAAAATGCCTAACATCTTTTTACATGTTTATATCAAATATTATAAATTCTTATATAATTTTCTTTCAGAGCAATTATTAATCGGCACTGTTTATGACATTCAACTTGTAGGAGAAAAAACCAAGCAAGTGGCTTTAAGACTTGCATCAGATGCTCTGTCTGCAACCGTTTAAAAGTTGGGTAAGGGCCAAGGGGGGAAATCATCTCATAAATAAACCTCAGCTAGCCCCCATAAATGCCAAAACACAAGAAGATTCCGCCTTGAATTTATGCCAACAATGGCAGAACTGGTCACATCAAACACAGCAGCAGAACTGTCCAATTGAAGTGAATAAAATTTTTACCATACAGGAGTGAAAGATGAGAAACCAAATACTTGAAGAAATATCATCCATTAAAGTTTTAAATTCAGAATTTATTATTATAGTTGAGATAATCGAAGGCACTGGAAAAAATATGACAGCAGTAACAATAACTGTAATAACAGAATAACTGTAACAACAGGAAAGAGACAATATAAGGTCGATTTTTATATTACAAAATATTTTTACTACACAAAAAATTAAAGGTTCTTTTTTTTTTTAGGCAAAACAGTAAACAGCGTAGGGTCTAGGAATTTGTGCATGTGAGACTTGGGGAGTCAAAATAGACAGGAACAAGGGATCTACAAAAAGATCTGGTTTTATTTGGTCGGTTATATCTGTCCTTTGTGCTCTTCCTCCATTGATGTTGCTGCCCTTTATTCATGTTCAGATGCTGCTTCACTTAGTTGCACTTGGAACTTGGCTGGTACTAGAAAAAGAGAAGATTGTTTTGATTCTTCTTTTCCTGGTGGTTTCCTTTTTTTTTTTCTCTAGTTTTTTATTAGTTTTGTTATGTCCCTCTTTGCAAGATAAGCTGGAAAGATAAATAAATCCAAAAGAAGAGCAAAAGTCAGGAAAAAAGTACATTTTATTGCATGAAAGACAGGACGGGAGGGCTTACTACCAGATGTTTGTAGGGCAGCTCTCTGCATTAATATTAATGGAAAGAACATAAGTTGTCATTGAGCCCAGTTGAACTGAGAAATTTTTGTCTTTGGTCCTCCACATCCCACAATAGGCTACCATTATCCTGAAAAATATGTGTTGTCAAAATAGTTAGAATAATATTTATGTTTTCTTACTTATTTCATATATATAGTAATTTTCTTATTGCTAATAATTAATAATAATTAAACCATATAAAAATGTTAATAATACAAACCTGAGGCTGAGAGAAGACATTGGGCCTTTGCCCCTGCTGAAGTAAAAGTGCTGCTGAAGCATCCAGAAGGGGATAGTTATGAGCTGGGGCAAAGGTGGCGGTGGTTATATCAACAAAAGCTGCAGGATGAGTGGGGTTGCATTGTTGCAGAGATGGCAGTGGTGATGCTACACGGTTCACTGTCTAAAATAATTATGTCAGAGACAAAGATTTCATCAGCTTTTGTAATGAATAATGGCTGTAATTAGTACATATAATGTTGGCAATAACTTTAAAGCTATTTTCATTTTTATCCCATGTTTTTTCTTACCTCTGGTCCGACCATCAATGCTTCCAGGTCCACTCCGAAGTCATAGAACATGGGATTCACAGAAGCAAGCTTCATTGACAGAAACTAAAAAAACAAGACAAAAGAGAACAAAAAAAGTGATTATTGCTTATTTGATCTTCCATTACAGGAGTGAATTAACCTAGTTGGATTAGAAATGTAAACAGATGTTAATTGTACCTCAACTTGATTTTGCAGGGACTGAACATAATTGATAATTTCATCCAACATAAGGGCCTTTCCAGTTACCTATTTTCATGCATAAACACATGAAAGCGGTCAGAAATGTACTATGTCAATCACCCAAAGGAAGTGAAGGGATTGCATTATTTTCCTGTGAAAGACAAAGTCAAGAAAAATGAACTGAACTGAACTGCACCTTGTCACACCCTGGAACAAGACGTTGCAATGTCTTCATCCTCTCACTGATTTTCTCTCTTCTTACCTGCAATCCATTTGGAGAAATAAATAATACTAGTAGGTGGGGGTATAATAGTAAACTAAATGATAATGGTAGCCGAACCCGGGGCTTGGTCCCATAGATCACCCACTCCCCTCAGGCCATGGGACTTGACCCAGAAGGGGGCTGAGGGTTGAGCCCAGCTCCTGCAAGAACGTGGAATTCTAACCCCTAAAAATTGAGTAGCTAGAAAAAGAGAGTGGTGTGTTGTTACTGGTACCCTTTCTGCTAGACTGTGGCTGTCTGTTGCTTGACCTCTCCTGGCTCTTACATGAATATAGCCTGTTGGAGGCTCTTGAGGGGCTTTCTTTTGATCTTTCTTTTCATTTTCCGGTGCATCATTGCACTTCTTTTGCTTCTTGGTTTTCCCTTCTTTTGCATCCTAATGGAAACAAAGAATGAAAATTGGATTCATATCCGGATTAATTGAAAAACAGTCAGGCAACCCATTATTTAAAAGCTGAAGAATTTTAGGTAAATAAAAACCAACATGCACATATAAATAAACATGAATTTCAAGCAGTATACCTTATGTTGAGCAGAATTCAAGGTAGTTCCATTTCGGGTCCTCCTTTTCCTGTCTGTGAGAGTCACATTCTGAGTGACTTGCTCACCACTTTCAAGCTTATCCACCACAGTGGAGTCATCTGTGCTCTGTTTTTTAGTAACAGATGGCTCATTATCACTATGAGCAACCTTTGAACTGTGATCAAGACAGCTACTTTCATGGAACTTAGGGTCAAGAGGGGACTCCAGGACAGGCTCAGGTGGGTAAAATTGAGAGAAACAATTGGACCTGATGTTTCCTTCCTCCATAAAGCCAGAAACTTTGGTGGGAGTGTTTGGCAAGAAAATGGAGTCCAGAAGAAAACGGTGAGGCTGGAATGAAAAGGCTGCCATGTAGGGAAGCAGTTTTGGATCTGAAAAAGATACAAATAAAAATGCAAGCTTTGAAGACAGTGATGGAAGAGACAGAGGGTGAGAGAGGTGATGATGCTTGAAGGCAAGCCAAAAGTAGCAGTCAATAGAAAAGTGGGTCTATGAGAAACTGAGGATCCCAAGGTTTATATAAACATGAAGAGAGAGAAAGGACAGGCTCATTAAAATTCAAGTAAAATCTCTTTGGTAACTCCTTCCCATTCAATGTCTCTGTATATTTGACTGGCCTGATCTAAACTTAACCACAAAACCAAAAAAAAAAAAAAAACCCAAAAAATTAAAAATGAGAATTTGTTAGTATATGTGTATGAAAGTGAGTATGGTAATCTGTTAATCTTGTTTTTATCAAATTTATATATATATATATATATATTTTTTTTTTTTTTCTTTTTAGTTTTCTGTTTCATAGTAATAATTTATTTGAATTCAACATGTCAGTGATTCAGTCTTTCAGACATACTATACCAATATTTCTGCTGCATAATGATAGTCCATGGCAGTGATTTGGCACACTGTTTTTACAGAGAAACTAAATATTTATGATGCTGAGAAATCAACAATGTCAAGCTGACTGATTAAAAAAAAAAAGGGTGGTTTGGATTATTCAGCCACAGGCTGTGGAAATAATTTTCTTTTTTTTTTTTTTAATTTGTGGATGAACAAGTTAAGAATGCTTTTTGAAAGACATGTTGAAACTGTTTTTCAATTTCTGATCACAACAACAGTGAAGGCATGGTGAAACTTAGAAGTGGAAGATGGGTAAACTGTCAGACAAAAAAGAGTCATTGTCAGTGTAAAAGAACAGAACCGGATGGGATTGAGCAAAGCAAAGATTCTAAATCTAACCTTGCCCCTGACCCAAATTGCCTTTTCAAGTATTGAGTAAGCCCAAAATCAATCCTGAAGGTGGATGGCAAGAATTGATCTTTGGCCCAAATTTGTTTGTTAAATAGAATCGGATTAATATCATAAATAATCTTAACTTAAAGTAAAATATTTTATTCCATGCATAAATTTTAAAAATTTTTAATTTTGTATCTAAATTATGAATTTGATAATTAATATAACATTTAAAAAATTATTTATCTATCACGTATCATCATTTAAAATTAATCATGTTAAAAGTAAGTATCATATTAATTAATAAATTAATAATTTAAGTACTGTTTAAGTCAAAGCAAAATATGTATCTTTTAAAGTTTCATATATTGCATTAGATATTAATACCAACAAAGAATAACTCGAACTCAAGCATTTCATAACGAATAGAACAAGCTTAGTCATTTGAATCAACCCATTATTGGCTTTGATGAGATTGACAAAAGCTTGTGATTTGCTATCTAATGAGAAAGTAATTTTTAGAATTTTTGTTGATAAATGTTAGAATTTATGATAAAATGATGAATTAATATTAATAAGGTATAGAATAAAATATCTTGATATAGTACATTGAAAATTTTACATTTTTATTAAAATTTATATAGCTTAATTATACTTATAGGGCCAAAATAAAGAAACTGAACTAATAAGTAACGATGGCAACGAGTTGGTTCGAGATGGATTTTTGTTCGTCCCGACTCGATCTGATTTTATATTCATAATATGTGATCAAACTCGATGATTTTTATATTTTTTTATACCTAACCTGACTCAATATTATGTAAAATCATACTTGATCTAACTCAACTATACTCGACTCGATTCGAAACTAATAAAATATTATTTAAATATAAATTTTATTTTAAATGTAAATATAAAATTAAATAAATATATAAATATAAAATTAAATAATTAATTATAAATAATTTTTTATATAAATACCGAGTTGGAATGAATTTGTCTAAAATCCAACCCGACCTAAACCGACTTCGATTTTATTTTACAATTACTTGATTCTTCCCTATCTAAAACTTAATTTTCAAAAAAAAAAATCGATTCTAAGAGATTTGATCGGATCGAAATCCGTCATGTATGAATTGAACTGCCATCCCTATTAACAAGTCATTAAAGTTTGTCATCCAATAATGGTAAAAGGATATTTTGTTAAAAAATAATATTTTAACTTTTGATTTTTTTAATCAAATTAGAAAGTGTAGCTATAAAATATCACAATTTTTTTCAAAGGAATTTAATATTGGAGGTGAAAAAATGGGAAAAAAAACAAAAATATCAACACCAAATGATCACATCGAAATAAGAATAAATAATTTGTTGATTCTAATCTCAGGGAACAAAGAGGATAAGTAGGCTAGCTGCAATTTGGCGTGAAGCAGTTGTCATTCATGAAGATAATAAAGAAAAAAAAACTATGGATAAGTACAACTTTTTATGACTAAATGTGCAATTGAAATTCATCCTTAGCTGGAATATCATGCACGTAAAAGCACCTGAGAGCTGGAAAGAAGATAGACGATGTAGATAATTAAAGGCAGTCGGTGATCATATCGAACCCTTCTTTTTTACGCACAAGGTAGTGACTGACCCAAAAGCTAAAACTTGTGTTGTGTCCCAATCCCCTCTTTTGCATGCCCTTCATCTCTTAATTTCCACGATAAGTGATGAATTAGGGGAAGAATTTATCATCTTGCATGCCTGCATGCATGGTTTTCCTTGCATTCAAGGACAATTTAATTAGAAATAACCAAAATGCAAAGCATTCAAGGACAATGCTATGAGGATATTAAAGACGAATTCAAATTTAATTTAATTGATTCATATAATTACTTTTAAAGAATATTATCTAGTAAATTTGAAGTTTAAATCTTAATATTTATAATCTGTTTTTATTCTCAAAGTATATGGATGGTACTTAACTGAAACCCCAGACTTTGTAATAATAATAGATTTTATATATGTTCAAATTCTATCTTTGATGGATGAAGTTAACACTATACTTTCAATCAGTTACACGAAGCATGTGCCAATGATTTAGATCATGATCTAAAGGTTTCACAAAAGGCTTAGAGATTATACATAATTGGGGTCCATTTTATTACAATATCAATCGATCACAAAAGCAACTAGCACAATTTACTCATGCTTGAATGTTTTCTAGATAGATTTTACTACAATTACTAATGAAATCCTGATCCCATGTTTTTGGCATGTATTTCCTGATTGCCGGGACTCCTTTGATCTCAATTATTCCATTAGTTTAGCTTAATCAGAACTCAAATCTTCAACTCGAAAAGTATAACTCATTAATCCTTTTATATATTCTTAAGTTACAACCTCTTTTGTATTAAAAAAAAAAAATCTTGAGTCTGTAGTCTCCGCGTTATCAATGGCAGATGACATTGCTGATCAAAACCCTAATTTTTACTTATAAAAAAGAGAAGCTGTAAAATATTTCTATGCAAAACTGCGCAGCGTGGACCTTAACTAGGATCTATCATTTCATGGTAAAAAAGAAGTACCATTCACTCGAACTATCACCTCAAATCCAGGTCCTAATACATGCTGACAAAATTGAAGCTTTGATAGCGGTCAGTTTCTTTATCAAAAAACAAATCATCTTAGCCAAGCCCTTTTGACAACACTGTGAGCCATGACAACACTGAAATAAACATGACAACAAACTTTTTATTAGTTGCTAGTTGAAAGACCAACATGAAATCATAAGAAATCTGTTTCTGGCCATGTCTTTCCGCAATATTATATATGACAGCGAAATTCTTGATTTGATCTTTTAAGATCGTAATGTCAATTTTCGTGATCCAAACTACACAAACATTAACAATTATTCAGAAGTATTACTACAATTTTTGGGGCTGCTATGAGCTAGCTATAGCTAGCCTTGTGAGAGAGGATGGATGACACTTACAATCAGCCTTTAATTGCACAAGTACTTGCTATAATTAACAGTAAAAAATATAATGCAATGTGTCAAACTTCAACATTTGTGGGCAAACCATGAAGGTCTAGACTCTCGTTTCAGGGGACCCCCCCTCCCCAATTCGTGAATCCTTCCCGGCCACCTGCTTTTTCAACTGGCTGGATATTTAGTGCCTGGAGTTGTACGAGTCAAGCACTTTCCCTGTGCCTGGAGTTGTATCACAGTATTATTGGCTTTTTAACTTAGGCATTAAAGACTTCATCTTAAATGATAATGCATGTATTCTTTTAAACTTGCTTTCAATTTTCTCTTAATTGTGAATGTAATATTATATGAGTGAAAGATGGGTATATATCGATCCCTTCCATTTATCATAGTTTTGCATTGCATACCAATAAATTCAAAGAAAGCATTAAAACATCAAACAAACGATGGATACAAACAACTAGTTAGGCGAGTTTCATTTTACATATTTATCACGTGGACTGGTCCATATGAATTTTTTGATAGTTTTGTCCAAAATCATGCAGTATGAACTTTGCATTGTAAGCATAATAAATCTATCCCGAAGGGACAATGAATGTTACAACGCCTGTTCCGATATCATATTTGTCATAACGTCTAGATCCAGAGATCTATCGCTAGACATTGATTTAAATAGTTACCACCAATCTTTTTTATCTAGATGCGATTGATCACCTAAAAAATCTGTCCTTTCAGGAAACACCTAAGTTTAAGGGTCCATAAAAAAATAAATTCGGATCTACTAACCAGAATAGAATTCGAGAGTTTGGTTACGTGTGAAGAAGGTTATAGCACCCTCATAACACCTATCAAAAGATGATACTAGTTTAATTTTGTGTTATCTAATAAGCCTTAAAAATTTATCAAGTAATTAATTATTGAAAATTATTCTCAATTGACTCTAATACTTTTAGCAGAAAATTGAAAAAATTCCCTCACTTTAAGAGTATGCAAGAAAACTATTGTTTCACTTACAGATGCTCCATCGTTGGATTATTCAACATTAAAAAAAATTCAAGAAAATAAAAAAGAAAAAAAATGATTGCTTTTGTACAGGAAAAATTGATACTTTCAACTTTTTCCTAAAAATATTTTTTAACATTTCCCAAAAAATATTTTTAGAAAGTTTATTTTCAAGGAAAATTGATACTTTCAACTTTTCCTCAAAAATATATTTTTTTTAGTTTTATTTAAAGAAAATAAATAAAATAAAAATGGAAATAAAAATAAAAAGTATTAAATAATTCTAATCTAATCAATAAATAATAATAATATTAACAATAATA